TATACTGAGTTCTTAGTAAAGATGATTAGGTCTTTTTAAAAATTCAGGTAAAGTTTGCATTTCAGATATTTAATAGTATGCAGTTCAGTAGCTATTAGTATATTCACAGTGTTGTACAATTTGTTAGTATACTCTCATTGTTGTCTAATTTCAGAACATTTCATTATCCCATGAAGAAGTAAGTACCCCTTTAAGCAGCCACTTCATTTTGCCCTACCCTATCCCTGCAACCACTACTCTACTTTCTATGAATGTACCTATTCTGGATATATCATAAAAATGGAATCAGACATGATTTGGCCTTTTGTGTCTGGTTTCCTCTACTTAAGCATGTTTTTAAGGTTCATCCATGTACTAGTACAAGCTGAATGTCCCTAGTCTGTAAATCTGAAATGATCCCAAATTCGAACTTTTCAAGTGTTAAAATTATGCTACAAGTAGAAATTCCATACCTGACATCATATGACAGATCATAGTCAAAACGAAGGTGCATCAACAGATGTGTAAAATTCCCTTCTCTCTATTAATACACATGCACGTGTGCGCGCGCGCGCACACACACACACACACACACACACACACACACACACTTACGTATGTGCCAGCATTCCAGAATCTGAAACCTGAAGCACTTCTGGTCTCAAGCATTTCAGATAAAAGATGCTTAACTTGTGCATCAGTACTTCTTTTAGTTGCTGAATAATACTCTGTTATTTGAATATACGTAATTTTTTTAATCTACTCATCAGTTCGGTTGTCGGACATTTGGTTCTTTCCGCTTTGGGGCAATTATGACTAATGCTACTATGTACATTTGTGAACAGATTTTTGTGTGGATATATGTTTTCATTTCTTGTGAATAGGTATCTAGGAGCAGAATTGCTAAGTTATACAGTAAATATGTTTAACATTTTGAGGAACTGCCAAACAGTTTTCCTTAGTGGTTGTACCTGTGATATACTAAAGTTCCAATTTCCTGTAGCCTTGCCAGCACTTCATTTTTGAAAACTGTAGCCATCCTAGTACAGTGAAGTGTTATCTTAGTGTGATTCTGATTCACATTTTCCTTATGATCAGTATCGTTGAGCATCTTTTCATGTATATATTGGCTAATAGAAATGTCCATTCAAACCTTGACTTATTTCTAATTGGGGTTTTTGGTTTTTTATTGTTGAATTAGAGTTCTTAAATATCCTAGGTATAAGGTTCTTATCAAATATATGACTTGCACATGTTTTGTCCCATTTAGGGCATGGTCCTGATAATTTGTTCTTTTCAAAATTACTACTGAATAAATAAATGTAATCCTACCACAGGCAGTATAGAATAATAGTATGAGAGAGCCACTAGAGTCAGTCTGTATGAGTTTAAATTTTGGTTTACTGTGGGACCTGAGCAAGTCAATTAACTTCTCTGAATGTTAGAAATATTTTCAAGAGGGCTGGGCATGGTGGCACACACCTGTAATCTCAGCAGCTTGGAAGACTGAGGCAGGAGGATCAAAAGTTTAAAGGCAGCCCCAGCAATTTAGTGAGCCCCTAAGCAACTAAGTGAGACCCTGTCTCCAAATAAAATACAAAAAGAGCTGGGGATGTGGCTCAGTGGTTAAGCGCCTCTGGGTTCAATTCCCAGTACTAAAAAGAAAAAAAAAATATTTTCAAGAGTAAGTGATTTCATATGCCTAGAACATTTGGAATAGTATCTAGCTTATTGTTAGTGTTCAAGAAATGTTATTTTAAAATATAAAAATAAAAGTATGACTTCTTTAGGGCTGGGGCTGTAGTTCAGTGGTAGAGCACCTGCCTCCACATTGTAAGGCACTGGGTTTGATCCTCAGTACCACATAAAAATAAATAAATTCTTTTTTAAAAAGTATGACTTCTTTAATGTAGAAAAGACAAAAAATGAAAAATCCCAAGAACCTGAAAAACACCTGAACTACTACCTAGAAGTAGATAGTCTTTAGTTACAGTTTAATGTTCATCAATATGGGCCTTTTTGTATTCAAAAAATGAATTATTTTTCACACCTGCTTTTCTTTTTAGTTAACATATTCTGAGCAGCTACTCTTGTCATTAAATGTGACTTTTAAATGGCTACCTAGTCCATTCTATGGTAGTATGATAATTTTTTAAAAAATTCTATTTGGGTTATTTATATTTCTTACAAGCTTTAAATTTATAAATACTGCTGTAGGGAACATCTTTGCAAACAAATCTTGTCCAAGTTCCTGGTTATTTCCCTTAAGAGAGATTCCTAGAAGGAGAATTACTGGGTCAGAGGATATGAAAATCATCATCATCAGCAGCACTATCTGAAGTTTCTTACACCAGAACCTCTGAGTCATTCTGAGTGCCCTGTCATTCTGGTGGCTTGTGACTCACATTCTGAACATCTGGCAGCACCTGCTTCCCTCTCTCTCCATGGCTAGCCCATAGTCATCGTTATCCTGCTGTCTCTCCATCCATGGCTAAGTAGCCTCTTCCCTAGTCCAGTTTCTCCATCCATCTCCTGTCTTACCCTTCCCAGGCCATTCCTTTTCTTTTTTTTTTTCTTTAAAGAAAGGGAGAATTTTTAAAATATTTATTTCTTTTTTAGTTCTCGGCAGACACAAAATCTTTGTTTGTATGTGGTGCTGAGGATCGAACCCGGGCCACACGCATGCCAGCCAAGCGCACTACCGCTTGAGCCACATCCCCAGCCCCCAGGCCATTCCTCATGCTATAATCAGGAATAATTTTTAAATAAACAAATCTAATATTATAATTCTACTTAAAGCCCTTTAATGATTTTCCTTACCCTTAGGCTAAAGATCCAAATTGTTTATTGTGGTGTAGAAGGCCCAGCATAATCTCTCTCTCCCCCAGCTTGGGCCAGAGAAGTGTGTTTTCAATTTCTCTATTTCTGGGGATTTGCTTTTTCCTACTTTGGGGCCTTTGTGTATGTATCTAGCCATAGCTCTCTGTATTTCTAGTCATTGTGGGTTTTTTTCCCCCCATTTTCCTTTCCCCTAGATTTATCTGGTTAGTTGCTTTTCTTCCTTGAAATCTTAACTTAAATGGCATTCTTTCCTGACCATATCTATCATCCTCCACCCCCCAAATCATGTGTGGCTTCAGATTATCCCAGAACGCCTTGTATTTCTTAGCCACACTGAGTACAGTTTTAATCACATGGACAGTTGTGTAAGTAATCACCTGATTAAGGTCATTTTCTGTGAGACCAAGGGCCATGTCTCATCCTGGGCAGAGCACCTAATAGACATTCAGATATGTGTGGAATGAAAGAGTGATATGTATGACAAGCACCTTAGAGAAAAGTTGTTTCCACTGACACTTTTTTGAAAAAAGTACCTATTTTGCCACTGCTTTGCCAAAACTGAGATTTCTCTTTTAAGAAAATCTTGTTGATAGGTTAATAATAGCATCTCATAATTTCAGTTAGCATTTCTTTGATTGCTGGCATTGTTGAACATATATATGTTAATGTTAATTGGTCATTTGTATTTTTTCTGATAATTGTTCTTTGATTAGTTCTTCATTGGAGATTTAGGGTTTAACTTTATGTTAGTAAATTCCTTACATATTAAGAATATTCTGTTGGCACTAGTACATTTCCCAGTGCCAAATCAAATAATGCTCAAGTGACATTTTTATTATTTATTTTATCCCTAGGAATTCCTTCTCCCAAAAGTAGATATTCTAATTTTTTTTCTAATAGCTTAATTTTCTTCTAGTAGCTTAATGGTTTCCTTTTTTAATATACATTTTATTCTTTATTTATTTCATATATGTTTTGGTATGTGATATTCAGTGGGTTTTTTCCAAATAGTTGGGTACTTTTATTCTTTTGTACCTTATTCTCTTTGGAAATCAACTTTATTATATTGCTATTTTTCCTGTGTGAATTTCAGCATCAGTTTCTGGCCCACATTTTTAGATCAGTTTTGGAGCCAGTAACAAGTTAAAATGCTATTTCAGTACCAGTATATATTTTAATATTTGAAAGTACAACTCATTCTCCATACTTTTCTTTTTTAAATTTTATTTTTATTTATTCATATTTAATATCGACACATAAAATTGTACATATTTATATATTATGTGGTGTTTCAGTGTCATGTATGCAATATGTATTGTCTAGTTCAGAGTTGGCACATTTACCTCCTCAAACATTGATCATTTCCTTGTGGTGAAAATATTCAAAATCCTTTCCTCTAGCTTTTAAAAATATATATAGTATATTGTTGTTTTCTGTTGTCACTCTACTGTACAATAGAACAGCAGAACTTACTTTTTTTTTAACTTAGTACCCATTGACCAGCCTTTCCCGTCTCTCTCTCCTCCCTTCTCTCCCCAGCCTGTGGTAACTACTGGTGTACTCTGAACTTCTATTTTTCTTCCTTCTTAGATATTGTTGAATTTTATTCATCTAAATGAACTTTAGAGTTTTATACAAAGTGCTCACTTTTTAAAGAAATTCTCTTGGGATTTTAAATGAACATATATGAAGCTGTATAAATTAATTTGGAAAAATTACATAATAATAAAAATATATATTCCTTATTACTCAGCCATAAAGAAGAATAAAATTATGGCATTTGCTGGAATGTATGGACTGGAGGCTATCTTGTTAAGTGAAATAAGCCAATCGTCCAAAACCAAAGGCTAAATATTCTCTCTAATATGAGGCTGCTAACTCAAAATAGGTAGGAGAGGGGAGGAATGGAGGAGGGCTACCAGATTGGGATGGGGGGGATAGGAGTAGTAAAGTCAATAGAATGAATTGGACTTAACTTTCTCATGTTCATATATAAATACACGACCAGTGTAGCTCCACATCATATACAACCACCAGAATAGGAAGTTATACTCCATATATGTATGATATGTCAAAATAAATTCTACTGTCATATATAACTAAAAAGAACAAAAAATGTCTGTGTATGTATATATTCCTACATCAGAACATGTTATTTTCACTTACCAAGTCTGCCTCTCAGCAAAAAAATTTATAGTTTTCATAAAATAACAAAAATTCTTAAACTATTATAAATTTGTTATAGCTGTTATGAAGGCAATTTTTTTTCCTTAAAGAGAGAGAGAGAGAATTTTTTAATGTTTATTTTTCAGTTTTCGGTGGATACAACATCTTTATTTTATTTTTATGTGGTGCTGAGGATTGAACCCAGCGCCC